TTACTTACTTATTATTATTATTATTATTATTATTATTATTATTATTATTATTATTATTATTATTATTATTATTATTATTATTATTATTATTATTATTATTATTATTATTATTATTATTATTATTATTATTATTATTATTATTATTATTATTATTATTATTATTATTATTATTATTATTATTATTATTATTATTAATTATTATTATTATTACGATTAAAGCTTCATTTGTACGAGTTAGTAGAAGTATTGGATAGAACTCTGAAGCCAACCTTATACTACTCGGATTCTGATTCAGAGTTTAACAATTTAGCGTAATATTTTCTTAGCAGATGTGTATAAGTCCCTAATGAGATTGCTATCTATAGATATTCCTTATTAAGCTATCATTGCAATCATCTTAAGATATTTTTGCAACTCCGATTATTCCATCAAGTACCCTTATCACAATTATTGATAATACTCTTCCTTCTTCTTCTTCTTTACTTATAATCATTGATTTTCAGTCTTAAATTCTGATATTTCATGTTGTTCCTCCTTATGTGACATCATCATCATCAACATTTGGTTAAGAAAAAAAAAAAAGAAAAATAAAGGTGAAACATGAAGAGCATGGGAATGTTGATGGTTAATTTTAGCCGTATCAAGCGGGGATACGGACGTGAAGCAGCATTGCGTATTAGTAATACCGAAATGTTCTTTGTCCAAGAATTCTGAGATATCTTCCCATATCTGCAATTTGATGTGTCATTTTAACGAAATATTAGTCGTGATAATGGTGTGATAATATTTGATAATGAATTTACCACTTCATTAATCAAATAATATGCTGAAATTATTCGCTATCTTTAGCAAATATTATAATAATAATGATAATGGCAAGGATAGTAGCTATAATTCACGCGTATTATTAATTTAATTTGATAGTATTTTCCACGATTTACACATTAATTTGAAATTTTCTTTCTTTTTTTTTTTGTAAAATTCCCATTTAACTGCTGAATTCTAATTAAAAAAAGATAAAAAAAAACTAATGATAAGGTAATGATCTGATAAGATCAATAATGAAATATTCAACATAACATTTTCCCATTTCATGACGCATTTGCGGAATTCCACATCTTCAAGTGTAGAAAATATGCAGCTAATAACACTTTATAATGGATATAACTATGATGACAATTTTTAAAAAATAATAATAGCAGAAGAATATTGATAGTAATAATAAAAAGATTAAAATTTTTTGCAAAATTCCCAAATATTTTTCGAAATTCATTCGTAATTTTTGCATTTTTGCAGAAATACTTGATGATAATCTCAAAATGAAACATTTCATTGCATTTTCACATTCAAGAAAGAATTAATATGATTGAATAATGATAACATTTATGATAGGACAAAATCATGATTGTAATAATTACGATTAAAATAATGATTTAGAGGAAGAAAAGAAAAAGTGAAAAACTGAAAAATTTATCACCTCATTGAGTTTTATAATTCTAGTTTAGATTAAAGATTCTTGTAGCAATGATATTTTTGACTTAACCCTATTATTAATTCTTCACTTATCTCTTCAATTTTAGTCTACCTAAAAAATACCCGAAAAATCATAAAGTGTAATTCGAATAAAATCATTAAAATATAATCCATATGAGAAGAAAAACTTCGATTTAAACTTCAATTCATACTTTCTGACTTTCAAAAGGATAATCCTTAACAATTTTAATGGTCATTTTTTAGGGTTGCAAAGTTAAATTAACGATTAAAAACAAAAATGATTTTATTAAAATGCAAAAAAAAAGGAAAAGAAAATGAACTTCGTTTATATCGGATACTGGTGGATTGTTGCTATTCATAATATTAGCTATTTATGCATACATAATAGCAAGCATATACAAACTATGTCCACTTATGTCCACGTATGTCCACTCAGTAGTTCGGGATAATTTGAGGTGATGAAAAGTGAAATTGTTGCAATACACGTAAAAGAAGTAATAATAAATTACAGTAACAAGAATAACTATAGTAATGATAAGTAATAAAGTAACATAGTATTAATAATAGTAGTAATAATAATAATATAGAATAGTAACAGTAAGTTAGAGTGACAATAATAGCAACTCTAATAGTAACTGTAACAATGATAATGACAAGCAATGAAGTAATATAGTATTAGTGTTGGTAATACTAGTAATGATAGTGTAGAACAGTAAGTTACAGTAACAATAAATGGAAACTCTAATAGTAACTAGCAATTGTGATAAGCAATAAAATAATGATAAGAGATAAACAATAGAGTATTACAGTAGTAGTAATAATAGTAATAGTAACAGTGATAATAGTAACAGTACTATAATATATACAGATTAGGAATGTACCCTATTGAAATTTATTACATATGAATATTTCAAAAGTATTATAGTAGTAGTAGTTTGATATCATTCGGTTTCACTTCGATATAATTTAATGTGATAAAAATGATGATAATAATGATAATTAATGATGATGATGATAATGATAATTATAATAATGATATGGATAATTATTGATCAAATTGTTATCATAACAATACCATAATAACATTATAAGTAGTGGTAATAATAATGATGATAATGATAATGAAAATGTCATGTGATAATATCATATATAAAATGAAAATTTGAAATAATAATAATAATATAAATAAATTAAAAATGAATAAAACAAGAAGAAATGATTTTAATCGTTTAAATGACAGGAATGTTTTTAACGGTGACAAATACCTATATAGCTTGTTTTTCTTTTTCTTCTTACCCATCATCACCTTGTATAGAAAAAGACTATTTTCTCTCCCTCTCTTTCTCTTCCTCTCTCTCTCTCTCATTTCTTTACATTTAATTTAAAAATAAATTGAAATATTCTGTTCCTTTCTTTTTTTCTTTTTTTTCTTTTGTCTTCATACCATTTCTCATTCCTTCCAATTCTTTTTCTTATTCGTACTTTGATAATTGTGACGTTTTGCTTTCTCTTTCATTCCTTATTATTGTATCAGGAAAATGTTTTTTACCTGCAAATGAAACTTCATCTTATGTATCATCAATCTTCACCTCTCTCTCTCTCTCTCTCTTTTCTCTTTCCCTTTCTATTATCATATTTATTTCATTCTATTGGAATGATAATCAATTAAGGTAGGAATATTTATTGTTGGCTTTAGGAAAAGTATGAGAAATAAAAATAAGCAATTATTTGTAAGTTATGATAATTAGCCAAAGTAGAGGTAATCATGATAATTAGTTAAGGTAAAGATTTGTAATTTGTGTGCTGTTGCACTTTTAGGATAATTAATTTTAACTTTTAGCTCTGCAACAAATGATAAAATTTTCAGGTAGAACTTTGATATTCCATATTTCAGGTTTGATTTCTACTATTACAGGCTTTCAATGATATCTTGGCTTTTTCTAACTTTTTTCTTTTTTGTTATTTTGTTAAACACTTGGCCATAATCTTATTCTGAAACTTAGAGCCTAGTTAATGAACAGAGTCAACTTTTAATGGCTATTTTCTGCATTACTCTTTTTTATGATCGTTCCATTTTACCCTTCCGGAAAAGACAAATAGAAATATTAAGTAGGGAGGAATTCGGAAAATGATCATATCCGTAGAATAATATTGTTATGCCGATGTTTTATCCATTTTCTACAACCATATATGTGTTATTTGTATGATTAGTTATTTATTCTGTTAATATTTGATATTAGACATTAACTGGCCTGATTTAACATCATAACACGTTCGATAATACTTCGGTAATCTTTCTTCCGGATATTCCGGAAGAAAACTGTGAACTTTTTTTCGTACATGCCACATATCGATACAATCAATTTGAGGTAAAATTTACCAAATATTTGAATATGGTTAATTTTCTATCCAACTAGATAGTTTGTTAATTTTTTATCTAGCTAAATAGGTTTACCGTAATGATAGTGTTTATAAAAGATGACTTATGATTTCTTGGGAAATATTTACCTAAGCTTTCATATTTCGGTAGATAAATATTGTCATGATCGACTAACTAGAAAATGATTAAAATAGGTGACAGTATATTGGAAATATGATCAAGGATGGTGACATTGTATTGTGTGTAAACAGGATCGAACGATAAAACTTGACTAGTACAAATGCTTCGATAGTAATGATTTGTGCAGCTGTCATTAGGATTTAAAAAAAAAAAAATAATCAAGCATTAATCTTGATGAATAAACAATTAAACAAGTGGTACCGGTGTTCACCAGATTACGAATGAAATCGGTAAAAGAAGAAAGAAGTAAATCCGATAAATTTGTCATCATTAGTTCAGATCTGTCACATCATGTTAAGGTTGCTTGTTAACTCGCTTTCAATACTACTTATCCTACCACATTTTGCATCATTTAACTTACTTCATAAGGTAGATAATTTGTCAATCTTATCCATTACATTTCCATTTATCATTTCAAGTTTTAAATCTTTCTGCTCTGAAATGCATAAATAATTTGTTCCATATGAAATGTAATTCAAAAATTTGCATAATAATATTTATTTAGAGGTCAAAAATCATATTTTCACATTTCATACTGCCTTATACAGGTAAGAGTAAATTATGCGTAGTAATTAGCAAAACTCTCATTTGTTTAATCATTATTAGATGAATTTAAAAGAATGATTTGATGATATGACATTCTTCTTCTGATGATATTAATGTTAAATGTATAATTGAGGAATTGGTTTTAATGTAGTAATCGAATTAAATGATAATATTCCTCATAACATTTTTAAATTTAAATTAAAGTTTTATCAATTATTTTGAATTTTTTAAATGCACAAAAAATTATCCAAACTATTATTTATGAGTAATTTGAATGAAATTTGATGGAATTTATGGGATTTTTTCAAAAAATATCTCGGCTAAACCGGATTTATATGCATATTTATAGCCACATAATGTTCCATGCTCGCAACTAATCGTATTTGGTGACGATTTCACTGATGATGGTATCGAATTTAACACACATTCACATGGTTTTACAAGAAATTCAAATGGTCCGGTATGGCCGGAATATTTAAATCGAATGCTTGAATGTGATGAAGTAAGCTTCATTTTTGCATTTGAAAATTTTTAAATGATATTGAATATTATCACTTCTTGTTGATATGATCATCAAATGATCTCTTTTAATTTGACAGTAATCTGTCATAATTGCTCATTATTTCTTAATAATTTGATAAGAAATGAAAGTTTAGGAATAATTTTAAAAAGAAAAGGAAAAAGAAGGAAGAGGGAAATTTTCATTTGATTTTTTTATTTGAAGAGAATTTTCTCGAAAACTGATCGATTTTTATTTTAAAAACCAATTTTAGTATATAAATTATGCATACAGTGGAGCACGGAGTGGCTACAACAATATGTTTTTCTCAGATTGGTCAGGAATATTATGGCAGATCGAATATCATTTCATGAATCGACGCATTCTGCCAAAAGGTGGGATTAAATAGAAATTGTAATTAATATTTAAGCTATCATATCATAGAAATAATTAAAACCTTTTTCTACTAGAGCTTATAACTTAATTTATTTGGTTTGTGATATCTTTCTTTTAACTTCATCTTTTTGTTTATCTTATCATTAATCATTTTATTGCTTCATTCTGCGACATTTACGCCAACGTATGCCTGCTTGTTTTTATTTTAGATCCCTTGATCATTTTACAAGTAGGTGGATTATCGGAGTTAATGCTGCAACAAAAGGACATCAATGAATCGAATAACGCTGATGAGATGATTATTCAGAATATAGCACGTGCTGTATTGGGTCTAATCAATACCATGGATAATGGTTTGATTAAAATATAATTTCAATTATTAAAATTTGAAAAAATGCGATATTACTTATGGTAATTTTTGGAAAAAGGAAGAGTTATAGGTAGCGTAATTCGTAAATAGTTAAAGGTAAGTGATAATATTGATGATACTTAAGACTCGATCTACTTAATGTAAATCTAAGTGCTTTCAAAATTCAAATTACAAAAGAAAAAGTAATATTCTCTCCTTCTTTTCCAATAAATCTTAGCTGGTTGGTGATAATATTGGTGATGCCACCTGAGATTCCATCTATTTAATGTGCCGCCAATCACTGCAGTGATCATAAATGAGAGAATGAAGATTGTCTTTTTATCAGTGCTAACTTTTAGATTGTGAATTTTTCAGGTATTATAATAATTATGAATATGATTGATCCATTTGAAGCACCAGGTTATGCGATATTTGCCTCAAATGGGAATGATAACTTGGATATATCTTCCAAGGTTTCGCATATCAATTCGGTATGCTAACAATATGCACTTCAAATGTTGACATTTTATTGGCAGTTGTCAAGAAACGAGGAAGCCTATGCAATATAGGATTAAAGCCAATATATGAATTTGGTCTGGATTTTTGCATAAAATTCATGTCGTTTCTTATTTTAGAAACTTTGGAGGTTGATGACAATCAAAGGTCACGAAAATCGACAAGTTAGGCTGTTCGATTTGAACGCAGCCATTGTTGATGCCACAAGAGGGTTGAATACAAATGAACCATTCACGTACCAACAAAGTAATATGACGTATGTATAGAAACTTCTTAATTATGTCTCTTTGAGATTATCAGTCAACCAGTATCTGGTGATAAAAGTTCACTCTTAGATACTCTAAATTAATGATAAGCATATGCAAGAAAAAAATTTACCGATCTAAAGTGTTATTTGCCAGTAGTAGCAATCGGGTGTCATTATTTACAGATCACTTAAGGTATTCGACTATGCTTATCACAATCAGTGGTATCCATCAACATTGGTGCATCATAAAATTGCGCAAAAATTAGTCAGATTTCTGGAAGATTTATGAGGAAATGGTTTATCAAAGTGAAGTATGCATATTGGATATTTTATACAAATGTCTTCTGAACCATATTATAAGGGAGAGATTGAAGTGAAACGTTTAATTTGTATTACTTTTAAATGACAATTTGATGAGCCGGCGGGAGAATTTTTCGTTTTTCTTTAAAATGTGAAATATGACCTGTTCAATATTTGAAACATAATTTTGTTCTGGTAATTCTCAGGAGCATCTTTCTGTGATAGCATCCAGAAAATTACTTAGAAACAAGTGACAGTTAAATTATGAAGCAGTTGATCTTAATTGTTTAATCTTAAGTTTGATCTTATCTATTCTTCACTATTTGTACTGAATATCCACAAATGAATTGAAAAAAAAAGTAGCAAATTTGATATCAAAATATCAGTTCGATGAGATCAGTAAATGAAGATAGAAAAGAAAATGGAGAAAAAAGGATAATTTCCAATATTTTTTGACTTTTTGCTTATAGATTATGCACAGTAAAGAGAAATGGAGTTATCCTTGAATATGATTTATTCATTCTTTCTTCTTACGTCGTAAACTGCCTTTTTGTAATCTTTCACGTCTCCTTTCTTTCTAAAAATCTATTCAAAAATGAACGGAGATCCCTCATCCGGTATCATTTGAAATCCAGAATAACTTAGTCTATGTTCAAAAAAAAGACAAAACCACAAGATCCAACAATTTTTTAATCTTTCAGTTCTTTCTAGGACAATACTTGATGCATTAAAATACGGAATAAAACTTACTTTAATTGCTTTACGAAGTTTCCACGAAAGGACAATAGTAAGTAGCAAAAATGGTGTAATGCATAGCAATAGAGTTGTAAAAAATGAACCAGGATCATCAGTAACCCATAATGCTAGTTGTATCAATCGTTTTGACAAATAATCCTTCAGATTATCGAACATCTAACCTGAAAACAAATACTTTAACAGTTGCAATAGCTATAGTATCATCAGATTCAAAGAGATCCAGTCATTGCTAATAGGTCACATGAATCGTGATATCCTCATTGCCCATACCAAATTATCATCATGATCTGATGCTAAAGCAAGTTTTCATCACCTATCATCTAAACCAAATTTTCATCATCATGATTATCAGCTGAATCATTCATTACTTATCATATCCTTTAATGATAATCTGAGAGAAAATTCTGCCAAAATTAAATCACTAGTAGGATAATTTCCCAATTATTGAGTTAGATCGATTAGATGTATGTGGGAATCGAAACATGCTAAATTACTTAATCCTCTGATAATGATCACTTTTGTTTAACCTTTCTATTAACTACATAACCTGACAGGAATTACGATGAGCAATCATAGTTAGATAATGAAATAGTACTTATATACAAAAATACGTGAATAAAATCTTTTCATATTAGGAATTACACTGAATGTAGAATGTGAATTGCGAATTTACCTTCATTGAATGGTGTAAGTATTGATTAACAAAAATTATCCATATATACTTTAATACGAATATTAATTAGGACAAATATTAATTAACAGTCTTAATCGTTTTAAAATAATTCAATGAAATGTATTTGGCCAAATAAATTAGATGGTAACATTTTAATTGGATAAAAAATTCAAGATGTTCATGTCAGAATAAGAATTTCAGAAGGACAAACAAAACAAGTACGGTTGAAAATGTTCAAAATTATTACACCTTGAAATACCATTTTTACAACTAAACGAAAATTTATACATCCCGACCATGCATTCATACCAAGCAAGTGAGTTCCAAAGTGATATTTGAAATGTTGAAAATTAAAAAGTGCCGTGAATAAAAGTATGTTCAGAGCTCTTGTAATTATATGTTATTGATTTCTTTCTTACGAATCATTTTTCTTTTTTTTTAACATGATATTGTTCATATTTTCCACAAAGTCCCTACTACATTTGTCCATACCGAGAACTACATTTCCCTATTAGTTTTGAGATATTATCTTTTTTCCCGATATGGTAAACTTCGAGTCGTCGACTCAAGTTTTTATTCTGGTTGTCAGTAAAACCTATATCAATATTGTTCGATTAAATCCTTTCATTTTAAATCACCTTTATGAATTCCATTAGTTAAAAAAATACACATATATGTATACAATATACCATACAAAAAGTATGTAAAAGTATAGTTCCGACCCATGTTTCCGCCATATTCCCAAAACTTCACCATTAAAACGAAATATTAGTAAATTAATCTAACGTCAATCAGACAGCATCAATAATGACAACGCTGAAAAAAGAAGATGCAACAGCTGAGAAAGCTCGCACATAAAAGCCAAATCGATGGAAAATATAGGAAGTTCGAAGAATTCGGATGACTATTGAAGTTGGCTTATTTATAGTATGAACAAATTTCATTCGGTATATAAAAAAAGCATCAAACAGCAATTCTAACACATCAACAAATGATAGATGAAAATCTGGCAGACACCATTCTTTCCAGGGCTTGAGAAGCAATACTTTCTTATACCTGAATCTGTAATAAGATAAGTTCTAGAGGAGAAAATAAATATGTGCTGAGCTAACTTGGGAGTTTAGCAGAGGGTGGTACATAGTGTTATCATTGATAAACTAACATCTATTGGAAGTGTCGCAAGAGTTTTCTTTTAGAAAAATAGTTTTATAAACAGTAGAAATGTAACGAATTTCCGGAAGGTTATCTGTTACCCGGAAGTGATGCGTGTCTGCTGGCAACACACACAGCTCCTCCAGTATCTTTTATTCTAACTTCTGATGACAATGAGATTGCCCAAATTTCGACTGAAAAGTCTGGCTTACCTGCATATCTGGCATTGTATTCTGCTCCTTCCAGAAGCTTTTCCTAACCAAGAATTAAAGCATTGCTTATGAACCCATAACATTGAACCGGAACATTTACAAGGTCTAAGCCAACCACGTTCATCCGATCCTTCCACATAACAAAATCTACAAATCTATAAAAACAATAGCGTTTTTCTCTTATTTATTCATAACAAAGATGTGAACTAATGAAATAATCACAGTGCTACCTTCATATTTGTTCGTGAAAATTGATTTCCGCCATCTGATCCATCATCTAATGATTCGTATACTTCCCAGTTATCGTGCTTCATACTTTCAAGGCGCATAACTATTTCCTTCAATTATTCGTCAACTGGGAACTAGAACATTGACAAATAAATGAATAAAGATGTCTAATTGCACGTTAAATTTCTAAATAGTTTCAACGAATCCACAAATCAACAGAAAAATTCTTGTTAAGCTCAAATTATCACTAAACGCCGGTAGCAATTCAAATATCAAAAAGAGTTTATAGCAGTCCCAACCCAAGTCTGAAACATTGCGAAAAGTAAATATGCAAGAATATGCGAAAAGTAAATATGCAAGAATATGCGAAAAGTAAATATGCAAGAATATGTTCTGTGGAAAATGACCTTATTACCAGGCAAAATGACTAAATTGAATTAATTTATCGAAAAGATCTCGGACAAACATTAAACAAAACCACATATAATACATGTATTGATGCATTGCGAAAGTACAAAAACAAAAGGCAAACAGTTCTCGAATTTCAAACTGAAACAAGACTGAGCATCTCAATTAATAATATATGTCAGATATCTAGCAGTTATTCAATTGGCAAGATAATTTTAGTAAAAATAAACGGTTTAAGACAAATAGCACGATGGATGTATTATGTTTTCTCATCATTTGGAAGTGAATACTTTTAATCGTCCACTTTTAATCTAATTAAGAAATTAGGAGATCTGCTTTCTTGTTTTTTTTTTTTGGTAAGTTATAAAGAAGTTACTATATGAAAATGTTGTATGACAAGCAGAAGTTGTGAACTGCTGGTATATCTCCAAGTCTGAATTTATAGAAATTCGACAATCGCCTTGTTAAAGGAGTGGACCTATATAAAAAACATTAAAGGTAATCTTCCATCACAAAGCAGTGGAGAAAGTAAAGCGGTAGCAGTAAGACATGATATTTTTCTTAAATAAAGGATATCTATTCCTCTTTTTTTTTCGTACGAATGGAATAATATCTACAATAATTTTGTACATAGTGAATGATCTCGAAATTTTGTCTAAGCGTAGAAGGTTTAATTACTCTATAATAGATTATGAGTTTAATACACTGGGCATTCGAAAGACTTTGGTTTACAATAATTGAATCTGAAAGACAATTTAAAGTGAGTAAAAATACAAAAGCTATTTAAAATGAGTAAAAAGGACCGGATCAATAAAATGAGAATCATAGGGTCAGTGAAAGTGAGAATCATCAATCGGTGAAGATAAGAAATTATGAAGCTGCTACTTTCAGAGTTTCAGAGCTAACCTATTTCAGAAACAACAAAAATGGTACCTCCAAACTCTTACCTCTTAATATTACCGGAAATACAATTTGATGTATCTACAAAATAAAAAAGATTACAATGCATCTAACACCGTTGAAGAGCATATCGATGTAACAATGTCATATACAATATTTGAATAAAAATTAAGTCTCATCCTACTGAGAACGACTAATTTCCAAAGCAAAACATAACTAGTATAGAGAAAGAATGTAACTCTATCATCCAAACAACGTGGGAAGTAGCGACATATGCGATAAGTCAGAATTATATCGAAGTATATTCCGAACAAATCGGTTATACGCAGACGAAGCTGCGGCCAATGCCAGTGTTTGTAAGGCTTTAATCTCCACTGACGCCGATACACATAACTGGAAATGTTTTATTATTCTTTACAAATCTATGAATAAGAAAGCAAATCTTTAAAAAGAAAACTTAGAAAAAAAAGGCAAAAAACAGCATTGGCTGACCAGCCAAGTTTTTCTTGTTAACATAATGGTGACGAGAATCGTAATAACAAGAATGTAGTGTATAGCACTCCTTTTCTGACGGTCATCATATTATGCATTAATGAATTACTGGAATAAAGTAATTAGATAAAAGCATTAAAAGGACAAGCGTTTACTGGCATATAGCACAACTATATTTCATAGTGTACGGAGCAAAGGAAAGCCACTGCTCGAAACAGCTCAAATGGACCCATTTCATTGTTCCAATACATTTACATGGTGCCAACCATTCGCTTACATCATCATCTGATAAGCAATATCGGCAAATCTAAATATTAACCATAATTATCCAATAAAAATACTCGGATAAATCTTTGGCTCAATCTATTTGACTTATTATTAATGGCACAAACATGATATTAGTTCTATGAGAAATATCATAGCATTATTTGTATTGCGAAATTTCAAATACACACCTTGGAACGATCAGTCATGACACTGCTAAATGATGATGACGTAACTTGAGATGAGAACGGGAATAAACCGGACAGAACTGCTATATTGCTTTCCACATTCGACAAATACGAAAACTTACTGTCACAAGCGTTACTGATGTTACTACTACTATTACTTGATGATAATGTGGCGCTCATTCCTTCTTGCATATTGTCAACCAAAGTCTGACAAAAGTTTCAATCAATACAATTGGGAATTGTTTGAAAGGGCTAAACGTGTAATTCACGAGCTGTAATCTGGAATATCGAAGTAATTTCTCTCAGCCAAACTCTCTTCAATCTTTATCCTTTGACCTTTTCATCATTCCACATAAATTACTCGAATTTAGTTATTCTGTTCGGTGCTAACACATGCAACTACCGCCATATCTATCAAAAAACACCGCAAAATGACTTGCATTCGAGAAAAACAACCCGGAACAGAAATATAAATCGCAAAGAAGCACACCGAGATTTCTTGATGAGAGTTCATCAAAACAACGGCAAACCGTTAAATACCAATTACTTTTTTCCCAGAAAAATCCGGCGATTATATGAGAACCGGTAGTGATACATGCATCATGTTACGCCTGCTTATTTGTCTACCAGAAGTCCCAGGAAAAAAACACCGGGAATTTTTTCTTGCTGGATATCACATGGCATGTAACATCACATTTCTATGGCATTTAGTTTGACCGGTCGTTACGAGCAAGAAAATGTACTTGTAATCCAGAAAGAATACAGAAGAAATAATGAAAGAAATGTATTGATTGGATCTTATAAGTGATATTAAAGATATTATATTGTAAGGATTGTCACGTCCTATATATTAGGGATCTAATTTAGCCAGAAAGTTAATCGGAATCATCAATATGCAACTTCCGGGAATCACTAGTTTACGATATTTTGAATTCCTGAAATAAGTGAGCTGTAATTACGGGAACGATGGCGTTGGAGGAATACTCGTAGACGTTTGAAAACGGATCAACGTTACGGAATATTACCTTATTTAGATGTAGTGCAGATAAAAGTATGTGAACATAACTGTATCCGGACATGATGCAGAAACTGGATGAAATTACGGAACATGACTTTATTTGGAATGAAGATTTTCACGATTCATTAAACTTTTAAGGTTTTACTTCAAAAACATGATCAAAGGAATGCTATGGTAGTCTTAAAATGATTCGAAATATTGGAACAAAATATTCATTTAGTTTGTGAATCAAACAAACTTAAATTCCCTTCATTTGGCAATACAGACATTATGGCAAATTTAATTTGGGAAAGAAAACAAATCATTTCAAAAAGGCAAGTAATGTATGGAAAAGTTAATTGGAGATTATTATTTAAAGAAAAAAAGAGGAAGGAATTATTTTATTTAATTGAAAATTGCGACAAATAATGCAATGAAGAATAAGAACAACATCATAGTCTCTAAAGGATGTCGTTGAAACCATTGAATGAAATAATTTAACTTCTTTAATGCTTCTTCCTGAGCATAAATCATTTGAACCGGTTGCCTATAACCTAATAGCATTCATTTCTTTTTTATCAACTTGAAGCATTCATAAATTTTTGTGAATTTTAAAGAGTGAAATAAATGTTAAAAAACAATTAATTGACCAACGGAATTTTTTCGGTTAAAATTGTTGTAATGCTAATATGCATAACAGGACAACATTTTATGATAACAATTTTGCGGATGTTTGTTTTTTTTTTTTACCGGAGATTAGTATGATTTCCGGAAGGAGAAAGGAAAACTTAAATTATGGATGTTATAAGTTTACTTGGACTTTTAAGAGATCGTTGTACTATCTCAGACAAATTTCGGATTTCGGATAGTTTATAATTTTACCTGTACCTTTACGGTGAAGGGAAACGGAAAGAGAGATAAACGTACGTAGCAGTACTATCGGTATGAGGAGTTAATGTTTTAGAGGATGAGATTGCTTCTTTTCTTTCAAACGTGAATTTCATCAAAGGTATTTGCTCCTCTGAGCTTTCTCCTTTTGAGTGTATTCGTGCTGCAATTCAATTACTGCATGCAAATAGTAAACATGAAATAGTATGTTGTAGCTAAGTTATTCTAGATGAAAATATCAATATTTCAAAGTTAGAATGAAAAAAATGATTATCACTAGAATAGCAGGATGATAAGGTAGAGTATGCTTAGAGTAATCATGGTGATAAAAATTCGTTCTCATCAAGATCAGAGAGTAAGGGATTAGGATAAAAAGCAAAATTTCAAAAATATTGCTTAGAAATCTTAATTATTGCATCGAATCCTTAATCAATTTACCCAAAAGACAAACAAGTAAAATTGCCTTTTGGGTAAATTAACTGAAGGATTTGATGCATTAATTAAAAGATAGCTTATTTTATTATCTATCAAAGCTTATTTTATTACTTATCAATCAAGCATCCTATTATAACTACAATCCTTATTGCTCATACACTTTTTTTTACCCATTACAATAGGTTCTTTTATTACCAATCAATTTGGTTACAACCGTCTGATTATTGTCGATTTCCTGTTCAACAAAATTTGTAACAAGTATTAATTTTGGTGTTTTCATTTCTTGCTGAATTTGCTGATACTTTGGATGTCGCCATGTTAGGAAACAACGTTGTTCCGCACGTGGCGGAATGCAACCGCTTCCGGCTGGTGTGGCCTACGGAAAAGATTTGCAACTAATTATTCTCGAGATGACGATAATTCATCAATCTAATAGCTGAATGCGACCACTTTCAGTTAGTTCAGCTTGCGAAAGAGAATCGCAACTAATCATCCTCGAGATGCAGGTAATTAATTAGTCTAACACTATGATAATTAACAGCAAGACCCCAAGAAATGATTAAATCAAATTGATAAATGAATTTGTTTTCGATAACTACCGTAATGCTGGAAGTTGCATCGGAGCAAAGCTTGAATAAAAGTGGTACATCAGCATCATTACATAGTTGCATTTCGGTTAACGCTATTTCCGGTCGTTGTTTCATTGGTGTAAAGTAGATAGCTACTGTTCTACAGTTTAATATTAATTTCAGCTCATTTGAGAAATAAAAATAGATGTAATTAAATTTAAATTAAAAATTTTTACAACACTAATTTTAGCAATCAGTTTCGTCTAAAAATTCGAATTATCAAGTCATTTTTAATTGCGATTGATTCAAATTTTACGATTAAACTAATATAATAGATGAATATTTGAAGTAAAAGAATTTATCAGTTTGAGATAAGAAATGAGTAAATTAGTATGAATTAGAGATGAAATACATTTATACGCCATATTTTGATATGTAATTTCCTTGGCCATCGTTTATCATATCAGCATATTTGTAAAATAGCAATATATTCTAATTAAAATAGGCATTATACATAATTGAAAAGACTGTACTGTTTTGGTTTTTGTCGTTGTGATTTGATAACATAACTTGTTGTTAATGGTGTATGCGACATTTGTGTATCATCTATAGTTATATCTTTATCTGTTAAGGTTTTTGCTGTATCACTGAAATATTATTGAAAAATATTAATTTTAAGCAATCAGTTATCTTTCATTATTTAATTAATCTTATATTATTGCTCGAGATTATGACGAGATATTTTTCTTATCAATGATAACTTTGAATTTTTCGTTTTTTTTTCTTCAGTTTTACTTGCTAATTTAACAAAGTAAACTTTATGGAATTTTTGTTTTTGATATTTCTTGCTCAGATTTTGAAATGATATACTTGGAGCACCAAAGAATTTAAGATTTGTTGACATTTTTTAAACACTTTATTTGAGAAATACATTAATTTCATCATTTAAACAATGTATTTAAGCAGGAGAAAAATAAAAAAAGAAAAAGATAAGCATTACAGCTTGCTTTTTATGATCCGTG